AAGATAGTCATGCAGCCGAGACTGGTTTGGCTCAGTGGATAGAGCATCAGCCTGCGGACTGAGAGGTCCCAGGTTTGATTCCAGTCAAGGGCATGTACCTTGGTTGCGGGCACATCCCCGGTAGGGGGTGTGCAAGAGGCAGCTGATTGATGTTTCTCTCTCATCGACATTTCTAGCTTTCTATCCTTCTCTCCTCCTCTCTGTAAAAAATCAATAAAATATATTTTTTAAAAAAAGAAAAGAAAAAAAGATAGTCATGCAGACCAATGGAATAGACTAGAAAGACCAGGATTAACAATTAAATATATATTTTCAAATGATTTTCAACAAGGATCACAAGGCCACTTAAAGAAGGACAGTATTCTCAACAAATAGTGCTGGACAACTGGATACCCACATCTACAAGATGAAATTTAAGACTGTGACTAAGGGAATCATTGAGGAAGGATTGTATACGAAAAATGTGAAAAGAAACTTGGTACTGTTATCACTCCAGATAATGGAAAGATGGTGCAAAGAATACCACAGAAAGTGGTGAGAGAAAACTGAATTAAAATAAAGCTTTGACCTCAAAAACAGCAAGATTCGATCCACATAGAAAGAATAAATTCTCTACTTACAGAATCTGCAAAAGTTCTGTGTACCAACCAGGTTCTAATTACTGCCAGGGCTGTGAGTACAAAAAGGGCATCTGTACAATGTATGGGAAAAAGGTGTTGGATACCAAAAACTACAAGCAAACGTCTGTATATGTGTACTGATGAAGATTCTGTCTTTCTGTATGATTTTTCTTTCTGCTTTACATTTTCAAGGCATATCATAGACTAGAGGCCTGATGCATGAAATTCATGCAAGAATAGGCCTTCCTTCCCCCAGCTGCGGGCACTGGCTTCTCTCTGGACCCGGGACCCAGGCTTCCCTCCCAGCCCTGTTTTTTTCCAGGTCAGAAGAATGTCTGGTTTAATTAGCATATTATGCTTTTATTATTATAGATGTTCAAATTACAAAATAACATGTTTTAAGACTATTAAGTTTAAACCAGGGAAGTTGACTCATTTTTTCTCTCTCTAGAAGTTCTGAATAGCAACAATGGAACTAATCTGCCTTACAAGCATCTTACTGAACTAGAATAAGATGCAAATTTAACAACAAAATATTGTCCCAGTTCTGTAAAACCTTTTTAAAAATATATATATTTTATTGATTTTGTACAGAGAGGAAGGGAGAGAGATAGAAAGCTAGAAACATCGATGAGAGAGAGTCATCAATCAGCTGCCTCTTGCACACCCCCTACTGGGGATATGCCCGTAACCAAGGTACATGCCCTTGACCGGAATCGAACCCGGGTCCCTTCAGTCCCCAAGCTGACGCTCTATCCATTGAGCCAAACCAGTCTCGGCTCTGTAACACCTTTTTTTTTTTTTTTTTTTTTTTAACAATATTCATATAATTCTTATCCTCTCCCTCTACTTTATACTTATATATTGCAAAAGTGAAAAAAGGATTATTGATATTTCCTCAGCACTTGGCATTAGGATTTGTAATTTTCCCCTCATTTCCTTGTTGGTTGCCTAGTTCTTAGAATCAGCAGTATCTTAATTAATTACAGCTTCACAAGGTATTTAATTATCTGAGACCACAACTGCTGAATGGTTCCTTAGAAATTAGTCAAGACCCAAATCAAACACAAATTCTATTTATGATTTTAAAAAATTGTTCTTGAAGCCATAGTGCTAGTACAGCTGCTGTGAAAAACAGCGTGGTGGTTCCTCAAAAATTAAAAATAGATTTATCTGCCCATCTAGCAAATAAACTTCTGAGTATATACCCAAAAAAACTGAAAGCAGGGGTCTCAAGGAAATAACCTGTTTACTCATGATCATACCAGCATTATTCACAGTATCTAAAACATGGAAGCAACCCAAGTATCCAGGATAGTCGGTGGAGATGCAAATGCGGTCCATTCACACCGTGAAATATTATTCAGCCTTAAAAAGGAATGAAGCATTGTTACACACTATAACATACCCACCAGTATGGCTGTATAAATTACAACTAAAAAAACTGGAGCAGAACAAAAATCCTTAACCTAAAACCAGTTGCTGCCATGACTGCTAGATGCTCCAAGTGGTAAGATGCACACATGTTCCCTCTAAAGAGCAGCACCTCAGGGACTCACAAAGGAACAGGCAATTAAAGAGAAGCACAGGGCCAAAACCAGTTTGGCTCAGTGGATAGAGCTTCGGCCTGCGGAATGGAAGGACCCAGGTTCGATTCCGGTCAAGGGCATGTACCTTGGTTGCGGGCACATCCCCAGTGGGGGTGTGCAAGAGGCAGCTGATCAATGATTCTCTCTCATCAATGTTTCTAACTCTCTATATCTCTCTCTTCCAATAAAATATATATATATATAAAAAAAATGGTAACATTAAAAAAAAAAAAAGAGAGAGAGCAGCACAGGGCCCTTCACTGCCTGCAGGAGAAACACACACACACACACACACACACACACACACCACCCCTAAGTAAGGAAGCCCAAGGAATCTGAAAGATCAGGACCCCCTTGTAGAGGTCCTCTGCCCCTCAATGCTCCAATATATGTGAGGATGCTATACCTTCCAGGACAGGAACATAGGGGTGGAACACCTCAGGGACTTGGTACAGGAATGGTCCTAAAGTCTGGATGCAAAACCCAGGAGAAAAACTCCTCAGGTAAAGTTTGAGAGGAGTTGCCCCAGTCACCACTTCTTTAGGTGCCCCCTTTGAGGGAGAACTTGGGTGCCTCCCCACCATCCACGTGAGAGCTCTGGGTACTAACAGAGGCTGCAGAAGCCACCAGAGGAGAAGGTCCCAGCTGAGGCAGAAACACGAACTGCCCCACCTCTCCACTCTCTCTAGAGAATGTGAAGATCAACAAGGATCCCCTAGTTCAAGAGAAGGGATGCTAAGATCCACTGGCCGCCTCTGTGTTCAGCATGGCGCCCACTACCCCTGGGACAGCTGAAGGCTCCTGGCAGACCCACAGGGTCACAAAGAACAGGGACAGCAGGAAATCAAGTGGACACTATCAGGGCCCTAGTGAACACTGCCAGAGTCCAGGTGACTACAAATATGCCTCCTGGAGGGAGAGAAGGGTCTGCATGTCGGGAACCAGACAGGCCTCAGGGCACACAAAAGCTCGCTGATCTATGGGACCCAAAATTGCTTCTAAGCCTCAAAGAAATTGAATTGAAACCCAGAGATGAACTTAGCCAGCTTCAAGGACTCCATCTTGAAGGACTCCACTGCCCGCCCCTAGAATGCCAATGTATAGAACTGTTGGTGTTTTCTGCAGATGGACTGCCTCCTGCACCCAGGGGGTACTTTCATCATCCCTTTCCACTGGCTGAGCTGGAGAGGCTGGTGACACCTGTCCTGGGACTGAGTCCCCTGCATCAGTTCTCCTGCCTCCACACGCCTTTGCCTGGCCTCCCTAATCAGGTCCTTGGAACACTATCCCCAAAAGGTGCAGCATCTCCTCTGCACCTCCTCCAGACGCCCTGCTGAAAAGTTAGGGCACAGCCTTTGCCTGGCACAGTCAGGTTGGGCTCTGCTCTCAAGGGTGGCCGGTCACGAGGACTCTCAGGCCTTGCTTCCATGAAAGCCTTGGTTGCCCAGGCTTCTGAGAAGTGGGCCCCAGAGGGTTGAAGCGTTGACTCCTACTGGCTGCACTTGCTAAAATGTCCCTCAGCTCCCAGTGGGGCAGCACACCCGAGTGCCATCCCCAGAGGTCCTTGACACCAGATTGTTTGCAGAACAGCAAGGTATGAAAAAGGAACTCATAAAAAAAAGAAAAAAAGAAAAAGGAACTCATTAAGGGAGTGGTGGCATCCACAGGCCTCACAGGGAGATCTCCTTCCTGAAAGACAGAGGAGCTGCCTACAGCCAGTTTAGCTGTGCTTGTGAGAAAGCACCCAACTATGGCCAAGCCACCTCCACGCCAGGAAAGGTGTCTGTGAGAAGGAACAAAGGAGGTTGCAGAAAAGTTCTTAAATTGTAATTAATAGGCTTTAAAAAAAAACCCTAAAACTATAGTCTGAATCTGTCCCCCCCCAATTCACATGTTGAAATCCTAACTCCCAAAGGTGATGGTGTTGGGAGTTGTGGGCCACAGGGAGGTGATTTTGTCCGGAGGGTGGAGCCCCATGAATGGGTTTAGTGCCCTTATAAAAGAGACCCCAAAGGGCTCTCACACCGTCCTCCATGTAAGGACACAGAAAGAAGTCTGTGACTGGGAAGAGGGGCCGGCACCTGATCTTGGACTTCCAGCTTCTAGAACTGTGAGCAGTACACTTCTGTTGTTTATAAGCCACCCAGTCTGTAGTATTCTATTATAGCATCCCAAATGGACTAATAGTTATCAATATATGTTCACTGTAAATGTTTATAAAATATTCATGGAGGAAAATAAAAGAAAAACGCCCTATAATTTTACCACTCACATTATCTGTTAACATTTTTAATGTATACAGTGATTTTTTCCCTATATTGTGAATATTGGCAGGAAAAGTCCTTGCTTTTTCATTCAATAATATTAAAAATTTCCCTCTCCCATCCAGATCATCAAAGAGCCTATTCAGGAGATGTACCATAACTTTAACCAATCACCTACTGTCAGACATTTAGGTAATTTCCAGATCTTTGCCACTCATCAGTCCGGTACTAAGCCTCTAGAACCATCCACAAATCTAGCCGTCATGGAATGTCGCTGCTGACTTAGATGACTGTATGCACTTTCAGGTGATCCCAGAGGTCACACCCACTTGCACTCCCACCTGCCATTGGTGCCCATTTTCCCAACCCCCATCTCCACTGAAGAGGCAGAAACCCTTCAAAACCAGACTCTAGCGTGGACATCTCCACCAACAGTAATCCCAGCATTCCCTCAGCGTTTCGTCACTGATTCTACTTCCTCTTTTGTGAACTGTGCGTGCTTCCTGTTGCCACTTCCGGGATCCTACCTTGTTTTTGAAGTGCACCTCGATGGGCATGATGAAGCCAGCGTAACCCGACTCCTCCACTTTGTATGGGGGCTCCTTACACACTAAAAAGAAAGGGAAAAGGCATCTGTCAGCTTCCTGATCATTCAAAGGCCTCACCAGCAGCAGCAGTAGGCCCACCACGCTCTGCGCCTCCTCTCTGGGGCTCACTAGCCCTGCAGGAGCATGGCTTTTCAGCAAGCCAGTTTCCCCTGTGAGGAATGAATCCTGTGCCCAATTCCATGCCAAAGAGGTCACGGGGAATCAAAGCAGCAGAGCAGAAGAAAGGTGACCCTGACGTGCCATGGTGGGAGAGTGGGAAAGGGCATGAGACTAGCTAAGGCAGAGCAGCCAGTGCTGGCCTCAGGTCACACAAGTTCAACTGACTCAGGGCAGTTAGTATGACACGCATGAAGTGGGAGACCCTATAGGCCCCTGGTCTCCCAGGAAGGACAGTGCACACTACAGCATCTACCTGCCTCCATTGTTCCCTCAAACAGGTGAACTGATGCCAGGAGGAGATGGCCTGCTCTCAGCTGGGATTCTCTCCTGGGTCCATTTGAGCACCTAACAAAAGCATTCCCAGCTGCCTGAGTGATGTGTACAGACTCATTAACCCCAGAAAAAAATGTTAAGTTGAAACTCGGAGAACAGCAATGTACAAGTAAAAGAGTCTCCCACAATCTCACCCTTCACAATGTACTGACAATGTTTTGACATATATGTTGTCATTATGCAAGAAATGTGAAAATATTGTTCTCCCACTTTTAAGAAGAAAAAAAATCAAAACAATACAGATTAAGTCACCCCTGTCTTCCACCCGTCTATCCCCAGAGGCAACCACTACTGGGAGACAGGAAAAAATCCTTCCAATTGTTAAAACATTTATGCACCTATATCTGTATCAGTCAGATAATTCTTAAGTAGGCCAGAATTGCTGAAAAACAATATATAGAATAAAATGAAACATGAGTCTTTTAAATTAAAACACTAAGCCTTTTCTTTAAAAATGTATCTTTTTTCAACTCTCATATATCCATCCGATCTAATATCATGTACCTCAAATATCTCATGTATCTGATCTATCCAAAGAAAATTGGCAAGCAGGGTGGGCTTGAAGTTATCAGTGACCCTCCACAGCAGGGCTGGTCAGACAGCCTTGTTTGGACCTCAGTCTGTAAACCCAGGGGAGCAGGGGATGGGCTTGTGGTTCAGGCCTGGGAAACCCCTGCTGGCCCCAGAGATGGGAGCTGTCTTGGGTGACCTAGGCTCCGAATCTCTATTCCAGTTAGCCCCCTTCTGTTCCTTGGATATCCCCCATGGATGCTGGATGGGCACCTCAAATATAGTCTGTCCCAAACCACCTATTCATACCCTCCTAAACCTATACCTCCTCCAGGGTCTCACAGCTCAGAACACAGGCTGTCTGCCACTCACCCACGGGCTGAGGACTCCCAGACTTCTCCCTCTTCCATAGATCACTTTTGCCAAGCACCACGAGCTCCACCTTCATACTGCTCTGCAACACACCCCACATGCTGGCACTCTGTGTGAGTCGCTACCTAGTGACTCACTAGCCATCCTGCCTCAGGCTCACTCCTGAGCATCCTCTGCAAGCCTGAACTGCAAGCCTGGCTATCCCATGATGGTTCCCCAACTTCAAGACCCTCAAGAGCACTGCATCACCTCCTGCCTCATCTCTTCCCAGCCCAAACTCAGGTACTAAGATTTAGTCCTGCCGAATCTCTCAGATCACTTCCTCCAGGACCCCTGCTCTGAGCCCCAACCCCATTTCCAGGTCATGGTTCCCTCCCACAGATCTCCAGCATCCTGTGTCACTCAATCACAGGACTTCCATATTTACTCTGCCATCTTTCTCAATTCTTATATCAGCTCCATTTCACTCACTGTCACATGCCCAGGGCCAGGGTCAGGGCCAGACCTTTCAAAAACATTTAATAAAATGGGAAATAGCTATAATACTATCAACAATAAAAAAATTTTTTTCAACAAGAAAATCTGTCAGATACTTCTGAGAGAACCACATGCCATGCTCCTTCAGGTTCTGCACCAAAGTAAAGGGATGGACCAGGAGCAGGAATTACACTGGACTGGGAGGCCAGGTCATGGTCTGCCTCTCTCTGAACCTCTGGATCCTGTTTGAGAGGACTGAGAGAGCAAGTGAAGTCTCTCCAGCTGCATGAAAGCTGGCTGCCTAGTGCTTTGCCCAACCTCACCAACCTTAAGCCCTTGCAGTCTAGCACAGGGGTGGGCACCTGGCAGGCACCCAAACACTTGTTAATCTGAATCCAAGAGGAAATGGAAGCAGAGCAGAGAGGAAGGGTGGCCTGTCTTCACTGCACAATAGCCTACAGCAAAGGAACACATGAGGGGCATAGGCTAGGGAGTGGTCTGCAGTTCTGCTTCCAACTCCACCCCCCAACCCCAGTCTAACTTCCGTCCGCCATCAAGGTCCAAGTCAGGGCCCACTTCCTAGCACGGCCCGACCTGGCTTCCCTTGTCTCTGACTTCCAGGTCACCTACTTCTGCTGAGGGCAGTTATCTCTTCAAGCGTACATGTTATGCCCTGGCTGATGTGGCTTAGTTGTTTTGAGTGTCATTCCATGCACCAAAAGGTTGCTGATTGGTTTCATGGTCAGGGCACATGTCTAGTTTGTGGGTTCAGTCCCCAGAGGGGGGTGTACAGGAGGTAGCCAAACAATATTTCGCTTTCACTCTGATGTTTCTCTCTCCCTCTTCATTCCTCTCTCTCTAAAAAAATCAATAAAAATATTGATTTTAAAAGATTACATGTCACTTCTGAGCTCTATGTTTCTATCAGACTACAAACCTTTTATGGGAAGAGATGTGTGGGTTTCTCAACATCTCTCCAAAGGCCTATCACATGACAGGCACTGCAAGGCTGAAAAACACCTATCCTTTCAGAATTGGGAAAAGAGAGACCAAGCAGATGCCCATGGAAACCAAAGTGAGACAAATTTGATAGGAAATAAAGAGGGGAGGGATGTGATGTAAGCTATGGAGAACTTTCTGGAAAGAAAAAAGTGAATGAGACTACGCTGGGCAAGGAAACAGGAAAAGGAAGTTGTGGCCCAGCACACGCCATGGGGCACTGCAGGGTAGGCAAAAGCCCCAATGATGCCAGATCCCCAAAAGGCTAGGGGTGTGGCACCTACAAATTCAGTAAAGGGCAGGAGAGAAGCTGGAAAGGGGAAAGGAGAAAGACAGGGAGTGACTGCTAATGACGGGCAAGAAGTTTGTTTACTTGTGGGGTGATGAAAATGTTCTGGAATGAGAGTGGTGATGGTTACACAACTTCATGAATACACTAAAAGCAGTGAACTACACACATTAAAAGGATAAATTTACCATGTGTGACTTATTTTTGTAAAGCAGTCCTTTAAAAAAAAGGCCAACACAGAGGCTGTACTTGAACAACAGCCCTGGGATTCATCCTGCCACCCATCACCACCCCAGGCACAGCAGTTTCAAGCTTCCCTATGGGGAAATCCAGGTGATTCCATGTCTCAGGAGAAGAGTCAACTGTCTGGAAGAACCTAAAGCCTACAGTATAAAAACGACCCAGAGTAAAGCCCTCCTCAGTTAGGAAAACACTGCGGGTTTGATCCAGTCAGGGCACATAATTAGGTTGTAGGTTTAATCCTGATCGGGGTGATTGGGGTGCATACCGGAGGCAACCTATCAATGTTTCTTTCTCTCTCTCTCAAATCAAATTTTTTTTTTTTTTTTAAATGTCCTCCGGTGAGAATTTTAAAGAAATGTTTGAATCCTGGCTAGTGTGGCTCAGTTGGTTGAGTATCATCCCTGGTTCGATGTCTCACTTTCACATCTCTTCCTCTCTTTAAAAATCAATTTTAAAGCTTTTTAAAAAACAAGAGTTAAAGTCATTGTCCTCAGGTCTAAGACATGCCCCAAAACAAAAATAATTTTAAAAGGGAAAACGAGGGAATAAGGTAGGGCTTTTAGTACAAATATAGTACTGATAATTTTTTAATTCCATGCAAAGACTAGACTAAAGCTAAGAAAATTTCCTAGAGCAAAAAAACACATTTTTTTTTTTTAAAGAAAAAGGTGAGACATGAAGAAACAATTCAGGTCAAACAAATGCTAACAGCAGCTAATATTTATAAAGCCCTACTGTGTGCCTGGTACTATTATTAGTATTTGACACAAATGAATTCATTTAATCCTAACATCAACCTTGAGGCAGATACAATTGTTTCCATTTTACAGATAAAATATTTAGACACAGAGAAGTAATAACCATCCTAAAAAGAGAAAACAGATAAAATACATAGATGAAAAGAAATAGTCAAAGATATAAAAAAACTTTCTGGAGCTAAATGGAGGACATCACAGAAAAAACAAACAAACAACAACAACAACAAAAACAACTCAGAACCAATATCTTAAAAAGTAGCTTAAATGCTTCTAGAGAAAAAAACAAGGTCATTTACAATAAAACAAGAACCCAACTGCATTAGACTTTTCTGAAGACTATGAAGCAAATACTTTCAAAGCTCTAAACGATAATAATTATCAAACTAGAATATTATATTCAGCCAATCTAGCAACCCAGTGTGAAAACAGAATAATAGTACTTTCAAAAATACTAGGAGTCAAAAAGTTCATTTACCACTTACCTTTCTTGGGAAATTTCCTAAGTAATCAATCTCTTGGGATATTACTTGTGAAATTACTCCAGAAAAACAAAACATAAGGTAACAAATAAATCCCCCCAGGAGAACAATAAAGGAACATCCCAGGGGATGACTAGAGAGGTGGCTTTGAGAGAAGCCAGCCCTTATTAGAGGAAGGAAGACAGAGAGAACCAGCATGAAATATTCAGGGCAGGAAAAATCCATTGACTAAATGAATGAGGATAGAAAAAAAGTGGAGATATAATGAAGACACAATGCAGTGGGAGAAAAGAGAGAAGCAAAGGGGTATTCACAAAGTTAGGGCCCAAACATGAAGCAAAAGACTCAGGACTGCCCTAGCCTGTTTGGCTCAGAGGATAGAGTTGTCGGCTTGCTGAAAGTACCTGGGTTCGAATCTGGTCAAGGACACATGCCTGGGTTGTGGGCTCAATCCCCAGTGGGTGGCATGGAGGAGGCAGCCGATCAATGATTCTCTCATCTTTGATGTTTCTATCTCTCTCTCTTTCTCCCTCTCTGAAATGAATAAAAATATATTTTTTAAAAGACTCAGAACTGAATTTTAACCAAGAATGATAAAGAAAGAACCCATCTGCCTTGATATTACCTTGAGTGTTCTGAGTGACCCAGAGTTCAGAGAGGATGAATGAAAACCTGGCATCCTGACTAGTTCAACAGTGAACAGTCAATAAAGTCAATACTGCTTCTTGATTTCCAGCTTTCAGTCAATTTCTGATCCCAGAGTGAAAGTCTCAGTTTAAGTTGAACAACTTTAACAATGTCAAGGAGGGGTGTTAAGATTCAAGGAAAAACAGGTACTCAATGTCCTTCTCTTTCTAAGTAGAAAGTCAGAAGATACTGACAGAAGCTGGCAGCGCCTATCTAATCTTTTCAGCACCAAGGAGATAGCAGCAAACTATAGCAGGACACAAATCAGATGAACAAGATAAGTAATATAAATATGTTAAAATGGTACTAAAGAGAAAAATAAAGTAGAAAAAAAGGTCAGGAGCATGTGGCTATTTAGGTATTTTGAACAAGAAACTGTGAGTTAGACCTGGGGGCCAGAAGACTTGTTTAAAAAGGGTGAGCCTTTGTGGAGAATCCAAAAGTACCGAAAGCAGGTATGCTCATTATCTAAAGTCACAAGGACAATCACCACAAAATTATAAAACATTTAGAGCAGACAGTGAATAAAAGGAGTTGGGAGTTTAACATAAAGTCTAGCTTTTCATGCTGGTAAATTAATATTTTTTAAATTTGAAAATCAACAATTAAGAAGCCAATTCACTTCCACTAACTTAAGGCGTTCAGGAAGAACACAATTAAGAAAAGCCTAGAAAAACTGGCCCTGGGCAATGTGATCAGTGATGGCATGAGAATTGGAAACTTCCCACCTGGCACATAACTATTATGTGTATTTATGTGATTTTAAAGATACTTTTTAAAGTACATAACGTATAATTTCAGAGCCAGGAGTCCTGTAAGAAACTCATTCACTTTTTTTTTTTTTTTTATCTTCACCCAAGGATATTTTTCCATTGATTTTTAGAAAGAGTAAGAGAGCGAAGGACAGAGAGAAATATCAATGTGAGAGAAACACATCAATTGAGCCTGCTACGAGGTATATGCCCTTGACCGGATCGAACCTGGGACCCTTTAGTACGCAGGCCAATGCTCTATCCTCTGAGCCAAACCAGCTAGGGCCTTACATTCACTCTTTAACCTGTTCCATTTTTCACTGACAACTGGGAGGGAATAATCCAATCAAGTTTTGTTCTGACACAACAAATAGCCAACCGGACATTTTACTATTTCACACAGTTTGAGTAGACTTGGCAAGCACCATTCAACTACTAATTTAAGTTCTACTCGCTGACACTGAGAAAGTGGACCTCACTCATCACCCATTTTCTTGGAGCTTGGAACTCAGGAGATTATGCTGCTTCCACATGACCATTAGTGGGATACTGGACCTCTATGAACCTCAGTTCCCACATCTACCTGGTAGGAATTCTGGGACATACCATGTTGCAGGGCTGTCATGAGCATAGCACACAGACCAGTGAATGCTGACAAATGCACACCAATATTAGTATTACTTTTAGTGGCTGCTTGGTTACTGACCCTATAGGAGCAAAAATGAAATAAATAGTTTAAAGGTGAATGGATAGCCCTAACCAGTTTGGCTCAGTGAATAGAGTGTTGGCCTGCGGACTAAAGGATCCCAGGTTCAATTCCAGTCAAGGGCATGTACCTTGGTTGCAGGCACATCCCCAGTAGGGGGTGTACAGGAGGCAGCTAATCGATGTTTCTCTCTCATCGATGTTTCTAACTCTCTATCCCTTTCCCTTACTCTCTGTAAAAAATCAATAAAATACATTTAAAAAATAAAAAAATAAAGGTGAATGGATAAAATCATCCTGAGTCCTCTGGGAGAAAAGGGAGTATGACAAGCGAGGGAGACGGTGAAAGAGCTGGAGTGGAAGCTGCTAGGGAAACAAGGCGGACCCAACTCACAAGAAAAACGCAGTCACAGTTTCTACTCTGATGTTAAAGCTCAACAGCAGCCCCAGAGGACTCCCGAATGAATGGGCATGGCCAGGTGCCAAAAGAAACAGGCAGCGCTAACATGCAGAGTCCAGGCCAGTGTGTGAACCACTATTTAAGTACAGGCAGCTTACCTGGCCCATTTGTGGCTGTTTCCCCATCTGTATGAAGAGAATAAATCAAGACCCTGCAGGAGCCCTAGCTGATTTGGCTCAGTGGACAGTGTTGGCTTGTGAATTGAAGGGTCCTGGGTTGATTCCGGTCAAAGGCACAGGCCTGGGTTGCGGGCTTGATACCCAATGGGGGTATGTAGGAAGCAGCCAATCAATGATTCTCTCTCATCATTGATGTTTCTCTCTCTCCCTCTCTTTTTCTTTCTGGAACCAATAAAAAATACAAAACAATAATAAATAAATAAAAGCCCTGCAGGAAGTGCTTCATAGTGCCATGTATTATTATTATTAATAGATGCTTTACAGGTATCTGCTGTGGTCAATAACATGTCTGCTCTCCTACAAGAAGCTCAGAGAAAAAGGAAAGAAGAGATTCGGGAGAAGAGAAATAAAGAAAACAACTGAAAGCTGACGGAAGAAACCAGAAGAAAAAGAAATGACTGCCATGCCAGTAGGAATCTCAAGTTGCCTTCCCTTCTTAACCAGAAGCTTCTGCTTCTGTAACATAAGGTTGCTACTTGCTGACCCAGGTCCAGGCCCCAGTGGGTCTGTCCAAGCTGGCTTCTGGCTCAGCCCTGGGCACCTAAACCCTGCCCTGCAGGGAGAGGGGTCAGCAGTGCAGCAGTGACTCCTCAACCCTGAAGCACTTTGCTAGTAAAAAGTCCTCATGCCTTCATCGACACATCCATTCAAGAAATATTTATTTGGCTCCTGTGACATGCCAGGCTTCACAACGGGGACTCAGTGATGAGAAGAGCAAACATGGCCCCACGGAGCTCATAAGATGACTACCAACTATGTTCCTAAGATCCCCGTCAAATTCCCCAGGAAGTGTTCTCTGATCCCCTTTCTCCCTGCCCTGTCAGACTACCAGGTCACAGGAAATTTGAATCTTCGTGGAAAACGTGAATGAGGTATTTGTGCCCACCAAACAACAGTCTGAGAGGTAACACGGGAAAGAAAGCACAAGAAACAAGACAGTGGTGAAATGAGAACCTTTTATGCTTTATCCCCCCCTCACAAATATCATGAGTTCTTAAAATGGTATCTCTCATCAAATGTAGGCCCCATAAGCAGTTCCTGATTACTCACCAAGTGGGTATAAACCACCCAATCCCACCCACTGGCCACTGACTATGTTTTCTCTGGAGACTTCTCAGAGCCCGAGTCTAAATAATGACATGAGACACAGTCATCAGTTCCTTTGGGTTTTCCCTACTATGAACTCCATAGCGAAAGAGCAGAAGGGAGGGAGGGGACTTTTATAAGGTCAAAGAAGGACCAAGTGCTGGCCGGTAAACTTCTCACTGGCATGCAAAGGGTGCAAGCCAGAACCTCAGAGTGTGAGCCCCCACCCCTAGAGATAAGGTGAACACCAGCCTTGCAAGGAGTGATGCAAATTGATTAGTGTTGTAGGCCTAGGCCTGCAGGGCTGCCTGGCTGGGAAAGGGGGAGGGAGCCATGGGCCACTCACCACGCTTGGGCTTGGGGAAGCTGTCATGCAGCCAAAAGACCACTTTCTCCACGAAGTGCTGGATGTCACATTGCTCGGGGCCACGGACAAACACCATCCAGTCGTGTGTGAACCCCTCCGTGGTGGGCTTCTTGCGCAGTTGGGCCCGGTGTCCCAGCTCTAACTTGACCTGGACAGTGCACTGGTGGAAGAAAGAGGCGAGCATGGGGTTAGCACAAAGCCCAGAGCAGGAGACTGCCATCTGTCCATGAGGACCTGGTACCGTGTGCCTGCTTCACACATCTCCTCCCCTCCACTAGCCCAAGGCAGGGCTATGGCTCCTCCCACACTCCCCCTCACCTGCAGTTCCCTCTGCCTCATGTGCTCCACCCTAGGCCTCCCCATGGCAGGCTCCTTCCCGTCACTGAGGTCTCGACTGGACTGCCCACCTAATATGAAACTACCCACCACCATCCCCATCACTCTGTCACATCATGTTTTAGCATTTTTCACCATCAAAAGTCATCTTACTAATGGTTTGTTTACTTGCTCTAACATTGGCTCCTCAGGGATGGCTCCTTGTCCAGAGTTGGCATCCCCAAGATCTCCCAGAATATATTGGTACAAGAAGTGCAATTATGCCCTGGCCAGTTTTCTCAATGGTTAGAACGTCAGCCTACAGACTGAGGGTTTGATTCCCGGTCAAGGTGATGTACCTCAGTTGCAGGTTCAATCAGAGAGCGTATAGGAAGCAACCAATCAATGTGTCTCTCTCACATTGATGTTTCCGTTTCTCTAACCACCCCACCCCTGCAACTTTCATTCTCTCTAAAAATCATGAAAAAAATATCAAGCGAGGATTAAAAAAAGAAGAAGTGTGATTACCTCCTTTTACAGACAAGGAACCCAAAGCTCCAAGAGTGTGCTGCCAAGCAGCACACAAGGGGGCCCAGCTGGTCGGGAACAGGGCCCAGACTCAAATCCAGGTGTGCGTCACCGAAGGACCTGCTCCTGTAGTCACTCTGCCAGCTTGCCTCCCTGGTCAAACCTCCCACACTCCTTGATTAATGCATTTTCCTTCTCCCTTGTCCTACAAAATGCCTCCTGGAGAGCAGAGACCAGCAGAGTCACCTAAGTCGTCCACACAAATGGTGGCTCAGTTTTTTGTTAATCTTCACCTGAGGATATTCTTTTTCCACTGATTTTCAGAGAGTGGAAGGGAGACAGAGAGAAACATCAATGTGAAAGAGACACATCGATTGGTTATCTCCCGCAATCACCCCAACCGGAGCCTAAGGATACAGCCTGCAACCAAGGTGCATGCCCTTGACCAGAATGGAAGCCTCAATGACGGAGCAGGCCAACACTCTAACCACTGTGCCAAACCACCTAGGGCTGGTGGTTCAGTTTTAAAAGCAGAATGGTGAGAATGAAGGGGTGAGGTTAAAGCCATCTGGGACAGGCCCCAGGTGGACCTGCAGCCCCATTAGGGGGGCTCCATTCATTATGTTCATGTCTGTCACTCTGCCCTGAAACAGAAGGCGGCTCATGCTGGTTCCACTCCACTGGACACAAAGCCACAAAACCTCGAAGCACTGGCAACATCTTGGGGGAGGGTGGGTGTCAAAACACTGCCAGGGAACCTACTGTACACAGCCCTCTCCTCAGTAAGAGCCTCCCCAGACCTCCCATAGATACAGCCTGACACCTAGTATCAAATGCAGGAATGATACAAAGAAAGCAGAGGCCAAGTGCACACTTGCTCCTAAGTGCTGAGATAATCAGGAGCAAGTCGTGGGTGGCGCTGATGCCACACTTCCCAAACAAAGCTCCCCTGTGATGGGCTTCCCTGCCCTCCCTTAATATTATAGAACCACCCTCCTAGGTCCAGACCAGAAATCTCCCACTGTTCACTATCTGCCCTCTTTCTCACCCAACCCACTGAGGGCGTGTGTCCCTAAGGCCAGTTCCTCTGTACCTCCCTCTTCTCAGCAATTCAGCAACCTGTTCAGTCCCGGCCACCAGTATGCTCCCTCCCTCCTTCACCTTCTCGCTGTTCAGTCTCTGCGATGAAATCAGGGCAGACAGACAGATCCTATCTCTAACTTTCACAACTTTCCACAGCTCACCACGCCCTCCGAATAAAGGCCAAATGCCTCAGCAAACTGACAGTCTCCCACCTATGTTTCCTTAAGTCAGAGATGCTCATCATTTTTCACTTTTTAGCCCTTTTAAGGTCAGAGTGTATTGCGCAGTCCATGTATAAGTCACCCCCCCCCCCACTGCCACGAAGGCACACACATGCAAACACACCAAGAAGCTGTTACTAAGACTGTGGTGTGCCCGAAAGGCTTGGAAAATGCACACCACTTCCGTTCCAGCTTAGTAGAATGCTAGCATCCCAGAACACATGCAGAATGTCTACTCCTGTCTGTCTCTGCTCCTTCTAGCCTGCAGCCTGGATGTCCTACTCATTTCCCTGCTGATCAAATCCTACTCATCCCTTAAACCCCAGCTTAAGTGCTACTTTCTCCAGGGCCCTTTCCGACTGCTGTGTGCCCTCTTCGTCCTGCTGCTGTTCCTGGGCTGTTCACTGCTGCCTCACCAGGACTGCATCTCAATCGTCCTTCTATCCTCTATCTTGGGATCATGGTACATGAGGCATCAACTATACTTAATGAATCAAAGGGCCTTCCCAGATCAACGAGTTCTAAGTGGTGCTTTTCTGGAGGAAGAGCCAATAAGAACCGTGTTAAGAATTGAAGGATGGTCCCGATTTACAGAAGACCTAGCAGAGCTCTGGGTAACTTAATGAGCAGCTGTAAAAACAGGGCAGAAGGTGTTCCCCTGACACAGGACAGTCCCTGTGGGGCTCCTTGGGAGGGCCTGGGCAATCTGTGCAGACGAGGCTGAAGGGAGAAAAGAAACAAGTCCACATGAAGGCAACCAGAGGGCAAGACTAAAAAACTAGGTTGAGTCGATCCTGAAATGGGAGAACTCACAGGACCTCAGAGTGGACAGAGAGCAAAGGAGGTTCAAATAACCCTGAGACCCGGATAGCTGGGATGCTCCTGGGATAGTGGAAGGGAGTATTGGGCCTATTCAAGTGGAAATACCTCACTTAAAGTTAAAGAGAAGGGACCACACGTCTGGATAAACTTGTAATGCTCAAATCAACCATAAGCATCTGTCTGCAGAGTGCCGCATATGGACAACAATCAACATAAACAAACACAAGCAATATTTATATTATCCCAAAAGGCTGTAATCACCATATACATGTCCATGTATGTAAGAAACTCTGCCTTTCTCTCCCACCTGTTTCCACACTGAGAAATTGGGAGACAATCCCTGGATTGCTGGGAGGGTTACTGGTGGAAAACTAAATACATACAATCATAACAATAATTTACTGGCAAACAACTTTTTGCTCTTTGGAGTTAACTCCTTCGTAATGAGATGCCTCCTCAGATTCTATTACTCCCCAATCCAGCTGCCTTCCCAGCATTCCTGATTATGTGGTATTCCTACCCAGGACACACGATCAGCAAAGCAGTTATTGTGAAATAGAGACCACAGTTCCATCAGAAAGGGGAAAATGGAAGCACCAAAAATGCACTCCACAGGCCAAAGTAAACAAACAGGAAGGTTCTGAAGCAGCGGTAGGTCATCTCTGTAGCTGGCAGACTATGCCCAAAGCTTGCTGGGCAGCAGCATCTGTGCCCTAGAGGCTGGCACAAACTCAGCCTCCACGCCCCCAGGTTCAAGGTACCAATAACTGCATACAATGGTGCACTCAGGAGAGGATCACGTCCCTGAATGCTGGACCCTTCTAAATAAAAAATAGAGATGGTGGAATAACAAAGATTGTGGGCTATTATACATATGACTCACTGATTCAGTTAAGACATTCAAGTGACAATGAACTGGAGGCAAGCAAGAAGCTGAGCCCTGGCCAACTACTCTGACTTGTCCAGTCATAGTAATTTACTAGTATGGCTAAGCCAATTTCACTTCCAAGAATTCTGCTCCTCCTTTCCTTACTCTACCTGGACTCCTTCTCTGTCCATTAGAACCAAATAATTGAAGCAAATTAGCTATTTCTCTACAAAGGGTACCTGGCTAAAGAGGTTAGCTGTTGGTTAGGGAAACCTGCCTGGGAATGAAGAATCTCACTGTTCAGCTGCAGAGACCCTGTAAGGGACCTCCAGAGTAGGTAGCTAAAAGTGACCCTGTAGGGTTCTGGAGTTCTAACCTAGCTTCAGTTACTGCCATGTCCCAGCATCTTGGGGATCCCTTTGCCAGCCACTCTCCCAACAAAAGCCTGGAGCAAAGGGGAATATTTCAGGCCTGTCTTAAGAAGGGTTAACTATTTTACCCCACAGAGATCATCCTAAAGACCTGTGGATGAAGATGGAGCAGCACACAGGTTCCAAGGGCCACCTGGGGACAGTTCACCTTGGGCAGAGAGTCTCAGCGGGCACTGCCCTCTCTCCAGGCCAACTGGCAGAGGGCACTTGGAAAACAAGGGCCAAACTCCTAAGTCCTACAAGCCAAGCAAACAGATCCTGGCTCTCCAGGAACTTCACTGGAGCATAGAGCTCCCCACCGCCCATGAGGACTTAAACGCCTCCCACCTGGCAAAGAGCAAGAGCCAGCCTGGTCCCAACAGCTCCACTCCTTCAATGACCTTTCTTCGTTGTCGGATCCTTTCTGTCCTCAGCCTGGGCCCCAGAAGGCAGTCCTTTAGCAACAAATTTATCTGTAAGATTTCCCTGATGCCCTTTCCTCTGGGAATTCACACTTTATTGAGTGGCATAATTAAGCCTGGTGTTTGGCTACAGCATCTAATTCCCGCAGCTGTGACAATCCACTCCCCTCCCAGAAAGATAAAGCGCCCAAGAGCATTTTCCCTCATCAGACAGGATTGATTTTGCCAGGTCCAACTGGATCCAGCAGATCGCTGGCAATATGGTCCACACTTAGAAGAAATGGGAAAAATTACTGGTCACATGAAGTGACAGTGACACAAGACCAACTAAAATACTCTTTGCAGAACCTTCCCCCTCCGGACCCAGTAGGGGGCTCTCAGAAGCAGCCACAAATGAAGGTGAAGACAGAAAATGAAGGATGGCCCTCGTGACAATCCTCTCGAGGAGGGCAGCCTGCCCCGAGGGGGGAAAGAACCAAGCTGCATGAGACCCTAGTCTTCTAACTGCTGGTACACTGGGGGATAGCAGCCAGCACCTGCACCCCTCTGCTGACTCTGTCCAGCCTGTACCTTTCACCAGGGGCATAAGGTTAATGATAAAGGGATGAGAGGGAGCTCAATGAATGCTAAGGAGAAGTGTACAGACCATGTGAGTATGCAAATAAACCTACAATCCTTAGTTTTCAGGTTCCTGGAAAGACAGACCCTCACCAGCCCTCCAGGAAGGCTGAGACAGGGTATATATTACATACGTAGAGATGCCTGCAGACATGCTGGGTGTCGCCAAAGTTCTCTAGGGAGCAGTTTGGGGAATTTTTTTTAAAACTCTACAAACTCAATAAAGGCAACTGTGGCCAGGGTAGGTGGCCTGGTTATAAGGAGCTGATAACTAGTTACTTTTATTTAACGAACAGTTAGCAAAGCTTATACAAGTTGTGTTACATGGACCTAAAGGGGACTAGGACTCGGGTCCCTGCCCTCAAGTACTTTACAACATAGTTAACTTCAGGACAAAAACTTGTCATGCTGACTTTCCAACTGATAGTTTCAGACCTGAGTGGGGGGAAATGCAGTCACTCTCATGTCAGTGCTCTGAACAATTCCAAGCGTTTCTCTGCAAGGTCTCGGTAAAAGAGACCTACCTAAGAATGCCACTAAGGCCTGACTCCTCTCGGGGCTTCCCTGAGCCTGCATTTACACATCTGTGAAATGGGCCATCACCGTTAGAAACAAACCTCCCCTTCCAGAACAACAGAGTATGGCCACAGCAATTGTTCCCAATTTCAAACTCAAGAGAATCTTTTGAAGTATCATCCACCCTCGGTGCCATGCCCAGTGAAGAGAGGACACCGAGGTCCTTTGGAGAACAGAATCGCCCAGACACTGACACCACTTCTAGTTCTCCAGGCAGCCCTTCCCCATCCTCCCAGCATCTGCTTGGCCTTTAACTACTCCTGTTCCTTCCTTACCATTCTTGGAGATAAATCACACACCTAGGGAGCAAAGATCTGTCCCCCCACCCCCAAGTACATGGCCTCTCTCCCCTAAAAAACACATACAAAAAACAAATCCCAGACATTGAATGTGTTAAGAACAGACTTGGGGGTCAGGACAGAGGGAACCATAAAGGCTTTGCCTACCCATGAGGACAGATTTTGATGCTGAGAAGTTGGAAGCCCAGAGCAAAATGCAGAATCGCCTTTAGCTGGGTTGAAACTTCTAGAGAACACAACAGGAAAGAGAAGTAAAGACTCCCAGAGCTGACAGGCCCTTAGGGGAAAATCCTGTCTTTCCCCATCAGACAGAGGCACTTACAGGTCTGGGCATCCTGGGGGAGAAAGGCAAGCTAAGTCTCTGCTGGATGGATTCAAAGCCTTTACCATATACCATAAGTCGTTCTGGGACACTGACCGCCATCTTGCCTACTCGGGTACTCTCCCAATTTGCATGAAAACACAATCAGGATGGAGAATCAGTCCACGGGGTGACACATACTTTCCTTCAGGACCAGTTTCACTTGCAAATACTTCTGCAAGGATCTAGAGACCAGCACGGTCCGCTCTCTCTCCATGCTGCCCAGGGAGGGGGCTGAAGGTCAGCAGCAGTACCCACTGGGCACTGAAAATGTGACTGAAGCACTGGCTTTTCATTTTGTTTTGTTTATGTTTAACAAGTCACCGCTGCTGGTGGCCACAGCCCTGGGCAATAGGGATCTCACTCTCGAGTGTGTTCACCAGTCCGCTCAATCACAGGCTAAGAGTGCGACCCATTCTCACCATTCCACTTACATAAATGACAACCGTCCAGGGGGAATGGACACGCTTGGACCTAAGACATCTTTCTGGGGAACCAGCATGTCAGGTAAGAGGCAGGAGTGACATTCTACGCCCATGCAGTGCCCAGCAAGCCCTTTCCAGAGGTGGGGTTTGTTGAAAGTGGACACTGAAGGTATACTTTTTGTTTATAACTCCATATTAATTGAAGGCAACACGCTCTGTACCTTCAAGGGAACTGAATTCATACTACACTGTAGAACTCCACCATTTAACTGTGACAAACTCTTCCTTCCCTCTGAAAAGAAAGGTAGTAACACCAAAGCCACAAGGGAAATCTTAGTGAGAGGGTGCCACAAACACAAGCCTCAATGATCCTGTGCCACCACGGGCGGCCAGGGAAGAGGTATCCTGCCCTACACCCCAGAAACCTCAGAGACACAGCACCTTACCAGACAGAGCCGCCTCAGTGGCGCCAGCAGCCAGGGACGCCTCAACCTGCCCTCGCTAATGGCAGAGATTTCAGCTGCCACCCCCACAACGCCTTTCCTGGCCTCACGCCCCTGGAAGCAGGGACAGCAGGGGAGGAGGAAGAAATAAACCATCCTCGGCTGGGGGCCACAGTGGCCCTGGGTGCTGAAGAGGAGAAAGCAGAGCTGGTGAAGGGGGGACCAGAGGCCAAAAGGGCCTCAGGATGACCAGAACCGACAGGACTGGCTGTTTCCAGAAGGAAGGGAGAGGGGCCGTGTGGAGAGTTTACAGAAGTTAGCAAGGCTCCAGGTGGAAGCTCGGTGGAAGCTCGGAGATGTCAGGGAAAGTGAGGTGCGCTGGGAGAAGGCGCTGGTGGGAAGTCACAGCATCAGGCTGGGGAATGGTGGAACACAGGGCAAGACTGAAAGTAAAGAGACAGGGGTTCCGGGGAGACTGCAGGTCTGCGAAGGGGGGTCATATGAGGTTGGAGGAACCGTACCGATGAGAGAGAGCCGGGTTGGGGGAGAAAGCGGGAAGGGTAAACCAGGGCTCCTGGGTCGAAGAGGGCCTAAGCTGAGGGAGTGAGGCATGTGGTGCCTGAAGGGTGTGGGGCCCCGGGCCAGGTCTAAGAGAAGAGCCTCCTAAGGCACTGGGGCTCGGGGAGAGTGAGCAGGACATGAAACCAGAGGGACTGAGACAGCAGAGTAAGCCAAAGGCATCTAAGAAGCAACCCCAGGCCCAAAGGGGGGGAGGGGTCATTCAACGCAGGACTGGGTCCTTGTGGGTAAAGACTCAGGTCCTGGCCAGGGTTTGAGGGCAGACGGACACTCGGGCTGAGGCAGGGGCAGGATCAGAGGGGAGAGAGGGCTCAGGCCTGGAAGATGATGAGTAGTAAGAAGGCTTAGGATTCGCGGAAGGAGAAGGCTGCAAACCAAGATCCCAGGGGTTCTGGGGGGTAGCGGGGGCTCAAAAGCCGGCCATAGTTACGGGAGAAAAGAGGCAGCAGATTGGGGACTCGAGGAGCTTGAGGGGACTCGGGGCCAAGGGTGGGGGAAAGGAGACCCAGGCCAGCCCAAAAGAGAAAAGGAGTATACAGGCTGGATCCGAGGAACCTGAGCGGTCCCTGGGGCGCTTGTAGGGACTCTGGGCTGGGGTGCCAAGGGATGTCCCAGGGGGCCTCTGGGTCGGGCTGGGATCCCACAAGGCGCCCCTAAAGGGTCTGGGCCGCCCTTGGGGGCACTGAGCTGCGTTCCCGAGGGGCGACCCAGAGGGTTCTTGGCTGCACTGGGGTCCCAAGAGGCGTCCCAGGAGGCTCCGGGCGAGGTCTGCCCGGGTCCTCAAGAGGGTCCCAGGCGCCCCAGCCAGGCCCGGGGCGCGGGTGGGGGAGGGGCGCCCCTGCCCCACATAAAGGCTCGGGGAGCGGCAGGCGCGCACAAAGCGGGGCGGGCGCCGGGCGGGGGCGGGGAGGCCGGGACCCGGGAGGGCCGGGCGGCCGGACGGAGGGAGGGAGGGAGGGAGGAAGGGGGCCGGGCGGACGGCGCGGGCTGCGCTGGGGCGGCGCGGCCGCTCCTCACCTGATTGTCCATGGCTGCCGCCCAGCCCCGCCCCCGGGCCCCGCGTCGCTCGCCGCCGCCGCCGCCGCTGCCGCCGCTCAGCGCCTCCCCGCCGCCCTCATTGTCTGTCAGGCGCCGCCGCCGCCGATCCCGGCCGCCCGCCCGCCCGCCAGCCCCGCGGAACCGGAAACCACCGCCAGTACGGGTCGCGCACCGACCCCGGGCCCCCGCCGCCCGCGACTCGGGCCCGCCGCCCCGACTGGCAGCCGCCTGGCCCAATCAACAGCACGGGAGGCCGCTAGTGGGGCGGGCTTTCCGGCCTGGCGCGGGCCGGCCGGGCGGCTCTCGGAGGGACGAAGTCCTCAGCCAATGGGAGGCCAGGACCGGAGAAGCGGGAGGAGGAGGGAGGGAGGGAGGCGCGAGGCGAGTCCGCTGGGGAGAACGCGAGGTGTGCGCCGCACGTGGAGGGGGCCGGGGGCCGGGGGCGGGCCGGGCGCGCTGCGCCTGCGCGCTGTGGCCCGAAGGGGGCGCTGCCTGGTGCCGGGAACCTCGCGGGCCAGAAACGTGGTGTCGGTTTCCAGCTCTGGGGAGGGAGCCCCAGGGACACTTTTGTTTCCTGGTCTCGTGCCGCTACTATGTGATGGAATGAGCTCTGAAACCCATTAATTTTCCTGCCCTTGATCCGCACTGTGGCAAGTGTAGACAACTGGTTTCTCTCCGTAAGTCTCAGTTTGCACATCTGTAAAATGGGGTCAATAAAAAAAAATGGGGACAATCATAGTATGCCGTGATACTAGTTGGTGCTAATTTGGATGATGCTGCATTAAAATGATCAAGAGTGTCTCAATTTAACCCTCCGAAAACAACTTTGAACTTATCTATGATCCTATACGTTCACAGCTACTTGCAAACTATTTAGAGTGGCTATAGACACGCCCCTCCATCTTTTTCACGATCTTGTAAGCCACTTGCCTCTCGGATATTACTAGTATTAGGACTTCTGCCTGAGATTTGGGGAGCCTTGTGCAGTCTTTTAAATTCCTTCTTATAATTAAAAATCGATTGGGGGTTTTGTTTGTTCATTTGCGGGAGTTTTCCCTTCCACTTCTCATTTAAATGTCAAAGTATTCAGTAGGTGGTATGGCTGGTACTTTGCGCTAAAGAACATGGGGAAAAATCAATAACGTTGGCTTGTCATTAAGTCCAGACAAAAACTCTGAATACCAGATTGCTATCATAATAACACTATACTTTTTAATCTAAGGCAGCACGAGTGGAATGGGGATCATGCTGAGGAAAAAAACAACACTAGCTTCTTTAGTGTTGATACAACTTTAATGGTTTAACATTCCTATAACTGGATGTAAATTGATCAGGGTTTCTATGCGGTCCTTGAACTAGCATGCTTAGCATCACCTGGGAACTTGGTTAGAAGTGCCAATTCTGGTCACCCTATATTCATGGAATCAGAAACTCTGCGTGTGTGGCAACACCCAGAGGTTTGGTTTAACAAGTTATGTAGATGATTCTGAGACTTATTTAACTTTCAAAACCACTGCTCCAGGTAAAGAGACAAAAATGAGAGGAGTAGCAATTTGTCTCAAGGAAGCTTGCAGTGAAGAACTTTTAAGCTACAATTGTTGCAAAGAGTCACCTTTCTTAAAGTTCAGATGAGTATTCTAACTTGCAGACTGGGTTAAAAAAAATCACTGAACTCCACTTAATACCACTTTTTGTTGTTACTGTATCTAGTTTTATGGTTATTTTTGATCTGTTACAAATGACTTCTTAAAGTGACACAATGTTTCCTATCTACTTGGCGTAAGGGAAGAAAAACATTAAGTAAATAGTAATTTGAGCATATGGCAGAATGCATGATTGATACATGTTATCTCGATGTTACAAATGCCAAAATTGATACATAGAGAGAGCTGTAAGTGGATCCGAGTCCCAAAGCTAGAAAGTAACATTTTGAACGCAGGGAGTCTAGCTTCCGATCCCAAACCTAGCGGTACTAGTACGTTGTGTCTCTATCTCCCTCTAACGGTCAGGCTTATTAGCAGCCAGAGACGACTAGGCATTTACTCCCCTTTCGCCTTGTGTAGATGGTTCAGCCCACGGAGATTTTTTTCTTCTTCTTCTTTTTAAATGCAGCACGTTCCCTGAACCTCTCAGATTCTTGCCAGCCGCAAATGTACTCAGCACAGTCTCCTGCCAGCCGCTCATGGCAATACTGAATATGACCAAGCAGAGCCCAGAGGCTGGTTGGAGACCTACCCCAGAGTAACTTCAACTCAGAACAGACCTTAACTGTCACAATGGGGCTTTGGGCTCTTAGCCCACGGGCCATGGAGAGCTATAAATGGTTTTGGAGCCAACCCAAACTATGTGCAACAAGGTATTTCCCCAGAAAAGGGCAGTACTCTAAACATTGCAATTTTTCTCTCTCTTGGTTTCATTCCCCCCTTTTCCTGGCAACAGTCTCTGATCTGGGGGCTCCTCCCAGGACCAATAGGAAGCCTGTAAAGCACCTTAGTATGGATATTTTAAAATCCTTTTTTATTGATATCAGAGAGGAAAAGAGAGGGAGAGGGAAAAGGTAGAAACATCAAAGATGACAGAGAATCATTGATTTGCTGTCTTCTGGGTGCCCCCAAATGGGGATCAAGCCTGCAACCCAGGCAAGTTCCCTGACCAGGAATTGAACTGTGACCTCCTGGTTCAGGTCGATGCTCAGCCTCTGGGCCACACAAGCCAGGCTGAGTTTTTAAATTGCTGCCCTTCTAGGAGGATGCCAACTCATGACAGGGCACAAGGCTTCAGCCCCCATGTCCCTCTTTTAATCAGGAAGGAGGAATGAGGCTCTTACCCTCTCCCCCACACCAAAATTCTCCTCTTCCTACCACAAGGAAGCATGTGGCCAGTCAAGCACTAGCCAATCAAAGGACTGCATCCCTCTGGCTACCAGGACTGGGGAGTGTGTGTTGGGAGGAGGGGGGTAAGGGCAGGATCTAAGACCAGTACAGAGTGGCTCTGGGAGCTTTATTAAATCTTAATTGAGCCGAATCCAGTTTGGCTTAGTGGTAGAGCGTCGGTCTGTGGACTGAAAGATCCCAGGTTCGATTCTGGTCAGGGGCATGTACGTTGGTTGCGGGCACATCCCCAGTGGGGGGAGGGGGTGTGCAGGAGGCGGCTGGTCCATGTTTCTCTCTCATCGATGTTTCTGGCTCTCTATCTCTCTCCCTTCCTCTCTGTAAAAAATCAATAATATATATATATATTTTAAATCTTAATTGAAGTAAAAATCACGTAACATAAAACTAACCATTAACCACATCAACGTATACAATCCAGTGGCATTTATGACATTCACAATGTTGTGCAGCCTCCACCTGTATCTAGTTCCAAAATCTATTCTTCACCCCAGGAGGAAATCCTGTGCCTGTTAGCAGTCACTCCCCACTTCCTTCTCTCAGCCCCTGACTACCACTAATCTGCTTTTTGTCTCTATGAATTTGTCTATTTCTGGACATTTCTGGACATTTGAATGGAATCATACCATAGATGGTGTTTTGAGTCTGGCTTCTCTCACTTGAGCATATGTTTTCATGGTTTATTCATGACGTGGTTTGTGTCAGCGTTTCGCTCCTTTTTATAGCAAAACTAGAGGCCCTACACACACAATTCCTGCAAGGTCCTTGGCCCTGGTCCCCGCCTACTGCTGCTATCAGAGGGAGCCTCTGCCACAGCCCCCACCACTGCAGCTTTGCTCAGAAGGAAGGCCGTCCAGAAGGATGTCCGGTCTAATTAGCATATTACGCTTTTATTATTATAAATAGCATTCCATGGTATGATACACCACATTTGGTTTACCCACTCTTCCACTGTTGGGCATTTATGTTGCTTTCCACCCTTCGGGTCTTATCAATAGTGTTTCTATAAACATTTCTGTACACACATTTGTCTGAATACATGTTTTTAATTCTGTTTGGTATATTTATACTTAGGAGTGGAATTGCTGGATCATATCAAGAGCTGTGACCCTGACCAAGTTGCCTGCCCTCTTTGAACTGCCTCTATAAAATAAGAATATTCCTCTCTATTTGAAGTGCCGTATGGGAGGGAGGATTATTAGATTCAATGAAGTGCATCATGGGCATAGAGCATATGGTAGCAACTAAATAAATCTGAGTTGCCTTTTGTCTATCATGTCCCAATCTCTCCAACGAGTTAGATGTGCTTGCCTCAACTGCTTTTGGGGTGTGGCACTCCTGGGATCCAGATAGCATGCCTGCCACCCATCTTTTGCAGAGACGATCAAGTGGTCCATGGGTATGAAAACCCACCCAGGGTCCCCAGGTTAAGAACTCTTACTCTGGGCTCTCCTGTGGATATTGAGCTCTGGCAACAGCTTTCTTTCAGTTGCTCCGGTGCGTTCCCACCCCAGGAGTTTCCTCTGCCCAGAATGGCCTTTCCCAGATCTCACTATGATTGGCTGCCTCTCATCATTGAGATCTCACCTGGCAAGTGCAATGCCCACTCACCTTCCACTTAAAAGGGCTGCTCCGCCACCCCCTGGCTCTTTCTTGTAAGCAGACCCATCAGTGCCTGGAATTGCCTTGTTGGTGTGTCTTTTTATCTAACACTAGAGGCCTGGTGCACAAAACTTGTGCACCCAGGGGGGCCCCTCAGCCTGTCCTATGGCCTCTTGCAGTCCAGGAGCCCTTGGGGGATGTCCAACTGACAACTTAGATCTGCTCCCCACCACCACCACTGTGCTCGCCAGCTGCAAGCCTGTCTTCTGGCTGAGAGGCGCTAGTGCACTGACCACCAGAAGGCAGCTCCTGCATTGAGCATCTGCCCCCTGGTGGTCAGTACACATCATAGCAACCCGTCGTTCAGCCATTCGGTCAATATGCATATTAGCCTTTTATTATACAGGATATATCTCCTCATTAATTAAGGCAGGGACTTTGTATGTCTTTGTTGTCTTGTGTCCCGAGGGACTGGCGTAAGACATATAGTAGAAAATG